GCATGCAAGCCTGCACCAGTATGGCAACCAAAATGGCCGGAGGGCCCAGAAGCACAGCTCCACAGGCCTTAAATAGTGCTCTGCTGATTACCAATCAGCCGGACTCTGCGCAGCATCCAATCAGGACAGAGGAGGTGGAGCCTGGACAAAACAAAGGGTTAATAGGGAGAAGAGACATCCTCCTGGGGGATGTAACAATGTTCCTTTACCTTCTAAACCGTCTGCCAATTTTTTATCCGCAATTGAGGCTTGTAGTTGAAATTTCCCCTTGTGGGCCTGATAAAGGTATATCAAATCAAAAATTTAGGGGTTGTATTGAATTCTATGGATTTCCACTTAGCTTTCAAATTAGGGTTACACCATTGCAGCAGGGGGATGACCTGAGATGCATAATAATAGTATTGTAAACATGGGAGCACTGCCCCACCTTTTGCCTTGCTTAACTGTAAAATACTAAATTTAATTCTTGGTTTTTCCCCTGCTAAATAAACCATGAAAGCCATTTTGTCCCATTCCCCAAACTGTGTTTGACTTACTTCAACAGGCTAAATAAATAAATTCTAAATAAATAGAGGAGTCTTGGGAGTACGTTCATTTTCACTGCTGATATCCTTGAATTTAAATTTAAGAATCAATCAATCTGAATCAGATTTTATGGCCTGTGACAAGGGACCATAATTTACTTGTGATAGATTAGAAATATTCTCAGTTAGAATTATTCCCAAGTATTTAAGTGTTTCAGCTTCCCAATTTATATTATAATTATCTCGTAAATTGTTAGATGCTGTATAGTTTAGTGTCATTACCTGTGTACCTGTGTTTAGTTTAGTTTATAACCAGACACTTCTCCAAAGTCGGATAGAGAGGACATCAACTCCTCAAATGATTCTTCAGGTTCCCTCAAAAAGACCAAGACATCATCTGCAAACATTGCAACTTTTTGTTCTTCACCGGCGGTACCTTTAATTTTAGTATTGTTTCTCATAAACTGACCAAGAGGCTCAATATAGAGTGCAAATAAAAGTGGTGAGACCGGACAGCCCTGCCTGGTCCCTCTTTCTAGAGTAAGTGATTCAGATAGATCTCCATTGACTTTCACCCAAGCCCTTGGTTTATCATAGAGGGATTGTATTATTGAGATCAATTTATTGTGAAAACCAAAAGTCTTTAATACCCTGTAAAGAAAAAGCCATCTGACTGAGTCAAAGGCTTTCTCAGCGTCCAGTCCCACCAACACTGCCCATCTCTGTTTATTTGTTCCATAACATGTAGGGAACAATGTTGTCCACTGTTTGCCTGTCGGATGAAACCACACTGATCCAGGTGTATTTTGTAAATTTTTTTGAGTCTCCGTGCCAAAATTGCTGTAAATAGTTTATAATCCAAATTTAATACACTAATCGGTCAATAACTGCTACATGCTGTCCTATCTTTACCCTCTTTGGGAATGATGGAGATAACTGGACAGGAGTAGTGGGTTTGGAGAGAGTTCCATGCTTTTAGGATGGAACTCTCTCCAAACATCAATTATCCCCAATTCCTCCATCAATTGATTTGATTTTTTTGTAAGAGCATCTGAGCTAATAGATGCTCCAGACACATCTAGTTTAGGGTTCAATCTCATATTGAAATCACCTCCACAGATTACCAGGCCTTGTGAATTCACCATTAAATCAAATATTTGTTTATATACTGTCCAGTTGCTTCCTGGAGGAATATACACATTTATAAAAGTCATTTCCAGACCTTCAATTTTGCCCGTAATTTTTATAAACCTTCGCTCCCCATCCTGTAGTTCTGATATGTGTTCATAATTAATTGTATTTGAAATAAGTATAGCAACTCCTCTCCTAGGGCCTCCCTTATATGAAGACGAAAATATGTTTTTAAAACCGTGTCTTCTCAGTGTATCATGTTCTGATTGACTCAGGTGGGTCTCCTGGAGGAACCTGTGCCTTTTCCCTTTTTAATTTAGACAAAATCTTACTTCTTTTGACCGGATTTAGAACTTCATTTACATTAAAGGATATTAATTCAATAGGTTCTCCCTGCATTCATACCTTGCAATTCCCCCCTTTCTCCCCCACTTCATATAAGCTGCTGCCTCGTAAACACAGTAAAACAAAAATTGCCACCAACAAAAAATAAATTGCGAAAACTTAACACTCACATGGCCCTCTTACTGACCTGCAGCAAGTCCAAGGGAAAGCCTCCAAGCCAAAATGAGTTGCAGGGCCCTCTACTCCTTTGGCCGTTTTTAGAGATTTTACATATGATTAGAAAAATGACCTCGTCCTTGCCAGGATGAACAGCAGCATGGTGTATTTATTGTACAGTGTCACTATTTGTTTAACTGAGGCAAAAACAGAAGCAGTGTGTGAAGAACCAAGTTCATCCCATGATCCACCTTTAGCAGCATGTATGACTTCATTAGTCTTTCACATTGTTGTGGAGGAATTTGGTTTCACTCTTCTTTACACCTTTGCTTCATCATCGAGGTTTGTAGGCATTCATTTATGCGCAGCCTCTTAATTTCCCACCGTAGCTTTTTAACCAGATTGTAAGTCGGAAAGATGGCCTCACATTTGACTCGGTGTTACTCAGCGTAACTGTATCCCAAAATATACAGTTGGGTTCATGGTTGGCTCAGTAACTGCAAGGCCCCCAGGTCCTGTGGCTGCTAAACCAGCCAAATCACCTGGGATGACGTGTTTGTACGCTGTGCTGTGCAGCACAGCCAGATCTCTGCACTTTGGTCTCATCTGTCCCAGAAGCATCGTTACAGAAGTCATGTGGTCTGTTTAGATGCAACTTTGTAAAGCTAAGCTGTGCTGCTGTGTTCAGAGAAGAGGTTCTCTCCTGGAAAAACTTGCAAACAAACCATACTCGCTTAGTCTTTATCTTTAATATTTAAATGCTAAATGAGCCCGTAGAGTCTGACATGGCGCTCTTGGGTATTCTGAAGATTCTGGGACTATATCACGGTCTGACCTCGTGCTGGAACAACAGCAGGAAGACTGGCAACAGCCACCAATGTTTCCCACTCGTAAATAATCTTCTGATGGTTTGGAAAGGGTCATATAATCCTTCCTGGTCTCAGAGACAGCAACAGTCGCTTTTTTACAGTCATTATTGACGTCGTTCCTCCTTGGTTGCGTTAGCACACGTTGACTACTCCAGATCAAATACTGTGAAAACCTCTGCTGTTACAGGGGTGCCACACAGTTTTTGAAGTTTCGGTTCATTTTCATTAAATAAAAAATGTGCAGTTCAATTTAGACATTTTAGTAAGTGGAACATGGTGACATTAGACATTTTCTGTTGGGAGCCTTTTGTTGCTAGAAGCAGGTTTATTATATTATATTTAAATATTCTGGACACAAACACATTTTGTACTTTTTTGCTGCTTTTGTGTGGATCTACGTAGCGACTCCCTGCTGAGAAACATCACACAACAAACTTTTGATAAGTTCGTTAAGTTAGTAAGTCACTCCCTATGACTATTAGCTGCTTTTGAAAAGCACATAATATGTTGTAGATTACTTGTTACCCCTTTAAAACTGCAACAATTTAAGTAATTTTTCCGTTACTTTAAAGTAAATGTATTTCTTTTCTTCATTTCTGGGAATGAATCCAGATCAATGGAAACATCTACATGCTGTAGATGTTTCCATTGATCTGACATTAGATCGATGTGGACACTGAGCTCATTTTTACTCCTGGTTAATGCGTTTTACTCTCAGCAGTGGCCTTCAGGGACTTACCTGATTCAAGAAGAAAGATTTCGGTGAATTTCCAGGACTCAAAGGAGCTCTTGACTGACGTCACAGCCAGTGACTAGCAGTGTTGGTCAAGTTACTTGAAAAAAGTAACTAATTACTGATTACTTCCC